GGCAGGCCTCTGAGGCGTGTGGAGGCCCAGGGATGGCCAACCCCCCCGGGGTTGGGGCAGGCTGTGCCTGGGGGTTCCCCACTAGGGCTGGCTCTTCCATGAGGCGGAGCCCAGGGCCTAAGGGGGATAGAGAGAGAAGGCATTAGGGACCCAGCGAGCCGAAACCCTCCCAGACGCCCACCCCTGGCTCCCCACTTACCAGGGCTATTCGGCCACCTGGACACCCGTACAGTTCTCTTTGCTTTCTGAGGTGATGGCCAGGTATTCCGAGCTGTGGAGGGGAGAGCCAGGTGTACAGTGACCCCATGATTGCTGTGGCCCCACCCCCAGGAGACTGAGGCAGGTGGCGGTCTTTGCCCCAGGTACACAGGGCTCCTAACAAAGGGACAGGAGGGGCCACGGGCTGGACCCCTATAGGGCTGCAGGGAAGGAAGGGGCTACCGCCTCTTTGCTTGGGTTTTTTTTGGAGAGGTTTTTGCTTAGGGCATGTGCGCTGGCCAGACAGAGAGACAGAGAGACAGAGAGACAGAAAGCGAGAAATCACCCCCAAGGGGGGATGGCCACGCTGCAATCCCTTCTCCTCCACTCTCCTCTCGGGATCTTGGGCACGCACGCACATGCGCCCGGTGTGAGTTTTAAGCCACTGGGTCCGGGACACGAACCACGGTCGACTACGTGGGAGTCCAGCGACATAGCCGTTACGTTAATTGCCAGTCCCTGTTTGCTTTTACTCTGGAAACAAACTCTCCCCTGTGGGGAGGACAGACACAGCTGGCACCCTCCACCACACAGTTCACACTCCCCCCGGGAAGCCCCATGGTGCCCCGGGGCACCTTGCCTCTCCCTCCCCGACCCCACTCACGCATTCTCTTGTGCGGCAGCCTCCGTGGCGGCGGCAATCTTCTTGTAGCAGTAAACCATCTCTGCCACCAGCCATATGGTCAACACCACGATGAGCACGTACATCATGATCTCGGACACGATGGATGCCATGTCTCTGTTGGCTGCAGGCGCAAGGCGAAGGAGTCGGCGGAGCCCCCACTCAGAGGGTGCAACAGCCCAAGGGTGCAGCGCATTTGCTGTGTGAGCCTGGCAAGAGGCCTGCCCTCCCTGGGCCTGGCCCCCAAGTACGATAGTGTCCTCACTATTGCTGCGATTATTCGTAACTAGCCTTGGGGAACAGCAGATGGCGGACCGGTTACATCGCTGCACTCCATGTAGTCGATCTCAGTTTGAGTCCTGGACCCAGTGGCTTAAAACTCACGCTGTGTGTGTGTGTGCCCCAAATCCTGAGAGGAGACTGGAGGAGAAGGGACTGTGGTGTGGTCATCGCCCTGGGAGATGATTTCTCGCTTTCTGTCTCTCTGGCAAACACACGTGCCCTATAGCAAAATCTCTCTCTAAAAAAAGGCAAAAAACAGCCTTGGATAGGCCTGGGGATTACTCTAAACCTGTCTCCCCAAGTAACTTGAGGGTACTTCTGTGTCATCCCAGAGGCTGTTGGGCAAAGTGGCTAAAAGCTGTAGCTCTGCACACCAGGTTCTGTTTCAAGTCCTGGCTCTGCCACTTTACCAGCTGTGGGACCTTGGGCAAGTAAGTACTCAGTCTCCTGAGCCTCCTATTTGCCAACTGTAAAAGGCTGATAACCATAATACTTCCTCCATGGGAGGGTGACAAGAACTGAAGAAGCTTTAAAAATCTTAATAGGGAGCAGCCAGATGGTGTAGTGCCTCCGTCGCTGGACTCCCATGTAATCGACTACAGTTCGAGTCCCAGACCCGGTGGCTTAAACTCACGCAGGGCGCATGTGCGTGCGTGCCCAAGATCCTGAGAGGAGAATGGAGGAGAAGGGATTGTGGCACGGCCATCCCCCCTGGGGGGTGATTTCTCACTTTCTGTCTCTGTCTTTCTGGTGAGCACACATGCCCTAAAACAAAAACCTCTCAAAAAAAAAAGAAAAATCCTAAGAATAGGGCCAGCCTGCCATACAGTGGCTAAGGGCGGTACTTAGAGAGTCAATCCCATATGGTTGACCACTGTCTGATCCTAGGGCCAGAAGCTTGAAAAACATGCTGGGCGCATGCGGGCACATGCCCCAAATCCTGGAAGGATGGTGAAATGAAGAAAAAACGATCGTGGAGTGATCACAGCCCTATGGGGGTTGCTTTCTCCCTCTCTCTTCCCGCCTTTTCTAATGAGCACACATGCCCTGTAGCAATGAAAAGAAAATCCTTCGAATGGTGCTTGACCAATAAATAGCACCCAGCAAATGTTCCCTAATGTTAATAGTATTGTCACTGTTATAATGGGGGCACTATAGCATAACGGTTAAGAGTAAGTGATCCGGGGCCAGACTGTCAGGGTTGGAATCTTGGCTCAGCCTCTGACTAGCTGTGTGACCTTAGGCAGATAAAGCCACCTCTCTGAGCCTCCGTTCCCCCTCTGTAAAATGGGAACGATAGGATGCACATCTTCTCACAGGGGAGAGGAAGTGAGTTAACCTCCATAACACGCTTGGGTAAACACAGCCAGCGCTGCCTAAGTGCTGCCTGTTTTCTGGAAACCCTCATCCTTTCTGCGGCGCCGGCCCTGGCTGTCCCCAGCTTCCCTTTTTGAGCCTAAATTTAAACTGTAAAGGGAGTGTGTCCTGCCAGGGGACCAGAGTTGAAGGCCACTCTGGCGTCCATGGCCGGATTTTGCAGGTGTCCATCCTGTATTCCTGGCCCCTCCCGGACGGGCGGGACCTCATTCCCCCCACCCCCACCTTGCTGTCCTCACGTGGTCTCTCCATCCCCTTAAGCGGGGCACGCTCTCTGCTGCTCCACCCTGTGCAGATGGCCTCTCAGCTTTCTGGGCCAGCGTGAGGGAGTGAGGGAGGGTGCTGGGCTGGAAGGTCCCTCCCATCCCCCACGCCCTATTCTCTGCAGGAGGAGCTAGAACAGGGTTCTGCATCTCACTCATTTCTTTGTTTATTCTTTCATTTGTTCCTTCCACAGACATCTTTTCTTTTTCTTTTTCTTTTTTTTTTAAAGAGAGATTTTTGCTATAGGGTGCGTGCACTTGCCGGAGAGACAGAGAGAAAGTGAGAGATGGCCCCCTCGGGGGGATAGCCACACAGCAATCCCTTCTCCCTCCTTCTCTTGGGATTCTCGGCACACACACACACACACAGACGCACACACACGCCCAGCATGAGTCCCAAGCTGCCAGGTCCAAGACTCAAACCACAGTCGGTCATGTGGGAGTCCTGTGCCCTAACCACTACACCACCTGCAATAGACAATGTCAATGCATCGCACGCAGCGGGTGTCCGCTCTCAAGCAGGTTCTGTGTTAAGTTCTTTATCTGAGTGTCTCCCTGGCTCCTCAAAACAGCCCTACGGAGAGGCTTGTCGTGGCTTTCCACATCCACTGGCCTCAGAAACCACGCAGAGTTGGATACGTATTGGATAAAGCGTGGCCTTGGGAATTCTCGCCCCTGCGGCTGGAACGCAATGCCCGGACAGAGCTAGGTGTTATCGCCTGTCCTCCTGCCTGGCATTTTGACTCCTGCTCGCCCAAACAGATTAGGATGGGGATAGGCATGGGTCTGTAGCCCGTTCTCCAGACAAGGACACTGAGGCCTCGAGAAGGGAAGGTGCTGGGGCAAGGACGCACAGTGAGGACTGGACTTGAGGACCCAGGATTCAGCCCTGAGTGTAACGGACTGCAGGCTCTGAGCCTTAATCTGCTCTGTGAGCCCTTGACAGCCCAGGAGAGATTTCGTGGTAGCGGGCGTATTCCAGGAGCCGTCGCCGTCGGCCCACACAGACATCCCGTGGCAGTTACCCCTGCTTTACAGATGAGAAGCTGGGGCAGAGGGAAGCTTCTTATGGGGTCACACAAAAGTGTGACCTTCTCTGGAGTTTCCTTTCATATCTTCAAAAAACTCCAAACCCTCTAAGAGCTTCACTTGGGAGCCCCCAGACCTGGAGCCCCAGAGGTACCTCTGTGGGCTGATTTCTCACCAGCCTCCGGCACTCTGCACCTTGAGACATTTTTCACTCTTACTGTGTACCCAAAATAGCGTCATTGTCCCCTCCGTCCTCATCTGCCTGCTCCCACCTTGAGTGGGCGATCTCAGCAGCTGCAACACCTCTGCCAGGTGAGGGACGTTCTTATCATCAAGACCCACTGCCCTCTCCCTTGGAAAGGAGCTTACTCCTCAGTGGTCATTACCAGGGGCGACACGGGTAGGTCAGTGGGGAATGCTGCACGTGCAGGAAGGTAGTAGAAATGG